TGGAGCTGAGCTGAATGAGAGAGAGAGAGAGATGCAGAGCGTGTGCAGAGCAGGGGAAGTGAGGAACAGTATTAAGAACCGCTGCTTTAGAACATTGATTTTGAAACTTGTGAATCCATTAGAATCTTTAGAAGACAGCATCGCGATTCATATATGAATAGATTTTTACGTGCAGCTCTACGTCCTCTCAAGTATGTTACTGAAATCACTATTTACCATTAGGCCAGGTTTAAATTGTTGGCGATAACTTATTATTTTACAGTTAATGGAGTGTTCCAGACCTGTTCTGACTAGAGTTTTGTTGGTCGCACTAGTGATTATCACATTTATACATGGGAAACGGTAGATGCTAAACAGTGTTGGGCAGTAACTAGTAACTTAGATACTGTAATAATATTACTTTTTGCAGTAACTAGTAGTGTAACTAATTACTAATAAGATTTCAGTAATAATATTACAGTTACCATCCATAAAACAGCTTAGTTACTTTTGATGCCTAAACCCCGCTGATTTAAAATCCAACAATCAAATAATTCCTAGATTTATTTACATAATTTTCAGGATTTGCACATGCATGTGATGTCCCCAGTGCAGCAGGCAAGCTTGGAATATGGAAAAGCTTACATTCAGCAGATAGAAATATTGCATTATATTGATTTTGTCAGGAAAAAAGATGATCTGAGCACTGTTGTGTAAATTGTGGCTTTACTTTACTCTGGCATTACATCCCACCCACACCCCTCTGATCAGCATGTGGTACATTACATTACTATAATAAAAAATCTTTTTGGAAAATTAAAGTTTCTTGCAAACTTAATGAAATATAATCGTATATGGGTAATGGAGAAATGACAATTAGCTTCAAGCTACACATGAGAATTAACGTCACTATCAATCACTAGAATGTTAAAAAGCTTGTGTAACATTATAAACTATACCATTTAAAAGCTTGGAGTCAGTATAATTTTTTTTGGTTGAGAAATTAATACTTTTATTTAGCAAGAATGCATTAAATTGATAAAAATGTGATGATAAAGACATTTATAGTGTTACAAAAGATTTCTATTTCAGATAAATGCTGTTCTTCTGAACTTTCTATTCATCAAAGAAACATGAAAAAATTATACTCAGCTGTTTTCAACATAATAATAATAATAATAATAATAATAAATGTTTTTGAGCAGCAAATTAGAATATTAGAAAGATTTCTGAAGAATCATGTGACAGGAGTAATGATGCTAAAAAAATCAGCTTTGATCACAGGAATAAATTACATTTTAAAATATATTTAAATAGAAAACAGTTATTTTAAATAGTAAAAATATTTCACAATATTACTGCTTTTGCTGTATTTTAGATCAAATAAATGCAGGCTTGGTGAGCAGAAGAGAATTCTTTAAAAAATATTAAAAATCTTACTGTTCAAAAACTTTTGACTTACAACTTCAATTATGACTTCTTTGTTTAAGTATTGACAATTGTGAAACTTCCCTGATATTTAAAATGACTAATTTCATGAAAGACTTCATAACGCTGTTCATAACGCCTACCAATAATCATGCTAATTAATCGTGATTTCAATATTGACTAAAATAATTGTGTTCATGATATTTTTGCCATAATTGAGCAGCTCTAACCAGTTTACTAGTTTATCTGTAAAATGTTTCTTCGTCTGCTTCATCGTATCACAGAGGAAGGAGTGGATGGAGAAAGTTTTACGCTACTGGATGACTCCAGCATTGCTGTACTAATTCCAAGAACTTTCAACGAGGAGGCGATGGAACAGAAGACCTTACTACAAGCAGTGGATCTGTGTTGCAAACTTTTCTACGTGTATGACATCAACTACCCAAAGCAGCTTTGCAGCACACAGTCTTTAATATTCCAAGAGTTCCTTCAACACACTGCCTCCTCCTTAAAGGGGTCGTATGATGCTTTTTTAAAGATCATTATTTTGTGTATTTGGTGTAACAGAATATGTTGACATGCTTTAATGTTCAAAAAACACATTATTTTTCAAATACTGTACATTATTGTAGGTCCTATATGCCCCGCCTCTCTCAAACGCTTCGTTTTCTACAAAGCCCCCTCCTT